GACTCACACACGCCTAATGGGTCGGGATAAAAGTCACCCGGTGGGACCGAGTCTTGTCCGTTCATCAAGCCTACATCCAAGAACATACTCATGTCCATCAAAGGCAAATTATCCTGGGACTCAAGGGGCATGATCTCTATCTCTCGCGACACATTCGGGTTCACGACTGAGGGGGACAGGACGTCGGATGAGGCGATGGCTGCGGCTAGGGCAGGCTGAAAATCTCGGATCGACGTAGGCACTACATCAACATCGGTAAACGGGGAAACATGACTCTGAGGTACTACACCGGAACTGGTGGACGGGATGCTCGAAGCCGAAGGTACAACACCGGCAGTTCAGATGGACGGGAAGCTCGAAGTCGAAGGTACAACACCGGCGGGACCGGTGGACGGGAAGCTCGAACTCGGAGGTACAACATCGGGNAAAAGGTGCACACCCCTCTCATCCAACACTATCCTGTGCTTTTTCTGCGTTTGGTGCAGGGAGAACAAGTTGAACGAAATTCCTGGCACCACGTACACGTCTGTCAATTGGGCACAAAAATCCACTTCTCCCGAGCGGCCTCCTGCCATATGGAATGCCAGATTGACACTACCGACACACTCCACGCGCAAATGAGCACCATTGCCTACTCTGATGTATTCTTTGCCGGGGGGAACAGGCGAGATGTTGTACATCTTGGAGCTGTTACTCACAAAATGGCGACAAAATGGTTACTTGAACCGCTATCAGACCAAAATACCTCCCTACCAGGAATGTACTCGAAACTCTTTGCAGACAAAGCAAAACCAAGATCACCACATGCGACCTGCCTACATCACTCGAAACCGAAAGCGAACTCATCTCGTCAGCGGACACAAAGTGTGCCATCAGGGAGTGCAGATGCCCAGGCGGAAAAGCTGCTGCTCCGGGAGAAGGCGACTGGGGCGGGGCATGGGTGAAGTGTTGCTGCTGCTGCTGCTGCTGCTGCGGCTGAAACGACGGCGGTCGCGGAGGCTGCGGTGGTGGCTGCTGCTGCTGGTAGTACGACGTCGGAGGCGGGTAGTACGGCTGTTGCTGGTAATAGTCTGGCGAAGGCTGCTGCTGCTGCTGCTGCTGCTGCTGCTGCTGCTGCTGTTGCTGCTCCCACCCGCCATACTCGCTACCATACGCGGACCCCCCGTAGGGCATAGCACTATACGCATGCGTCACATTTGCATGCCCGTACGGAGGCCGCCACGGCGGCTGTGGCGGACGAGGGGGAGCTGCATGCCTGTGCTGATGCTGTCCTCCGTAGCCGCTGTGAGGTCCGTGCTGAGGCCCACCGCCCCAGCCCCCCCCACTGCTGTAGCTCGGCTGCTGCTGCGGCGGTCCATGAAGTTGCTGTTGCTGGGGATGCTGCTGTTGAGGCTGCTGTGGCTGATGCTGCTGTGGCTGATGCTGCTGTTGCTGAGGCTGCTGCTGCTCCTGTTTCTTCTGACGGTCGCGTTGAGTGCGGCACTGGGCGTTGGTGTGGGACAAGTGCGGATGTAGGTAGCAGTGGTCGCTGTCGGCTCCGCTCTCTCCTGCTTTCTTGTTTCCTCTCCCTCTGCTCCTGCTCCGACTCCGGGCGCCTCCGTCTCCGTCCTGTCCCCCGCCGTTTCCACTCGACCCATTTTGGACACGTCCATCGCCCCGGATGCCACCGGAAGCGACGAACGCGTGCCCCGCGCCATTCTTTGGTTCCTCCTCCCGACGGCGAAGCAATTCCGCATGGGCATCTCGTACACCCTTTCTTTTCAATTTTTTCGCGCGAGGGGAGAATTGGTGACATAGTCAGAATTTTCTTCTCCATCATGTACTCGTCGGAAAGGTGGTAAACCATGTGGGCATTGGCATCTTCGTCGGAGAAAGTAACACCGTGCGAGGCTAGCCTACTGCGCAAAACAGCAAATCTCCCGAAGTATTCTTGGGGGGTCTCTCCTACTTTCATCTCAAGACCGTGGTATTGGGATGACAACCTGTCCTTCACGGCTCTGGCACGCGGCTCGTAATAGTTGAGGAATATTTTCCAACCTCCACTTGGACTACCATCAGCGATGATCTGGGTGAGGATAGGCATGTATGTTACAGACGTGATCAGCAGGTTCCACGCCGTAATTGCCTTCTCTACGCTATC